GTTTAGCATACCTTTAGGGAGGTGGCTCGGATGACCACCAGGCACCCCCGTACAACGAACTGCCATTGTCCTAAGACCACTGGAATTTATTCCGGAAGAAAAGACATTAGGTTTATAAAAATCCCTGCAGCAAATTAGAGACAAACTCTCTTCCTGCTTTGAAACTTTGTTTTGCGTAATGTATTTGGGCTTTTTTCGCAATCTTTTGGCAATTTTCCAACAGCCAATTTATACTGAACCTTTGGATGACCACAACTAAAAAGGATGTGTCAAGGCTTTGCGATCTTCTCTTGGATTTTAGAATCTTAAAAAGTGTTTTTCAGGATGTAACACTTTCAGTCATCATTTTCAGAATTTTGAAGTATGAAGTTTAGAGAAAATTCAACTTTTTTTTATTGCTGCTCTGTTGTATCAAAGAAATTTTAGAAACATCCAATATACTTACATAAATAATTGCTTTAAAATGTTCTTACCAGATGAACTAACTAAAGATGCAGCTTCATTGTCAATCAGTGATCAGCAGTCGGCTGCTTACAGATGCCCTTGATACTTCTAGACAGATTACTGACGTCAACAAATACCGTAGCACTTTTTTCCTTCTTTTGTAATCGATTATATTCTTTGCTAAAGTTCGAAGAAGATATTTTGCCGCGACTAGATTTTGGAGTTCCGTGACAGTGAAACTGATAAGTGTATCAGAGATGAAATTCCAGCATCCATTTCTTTTATTTTATTTTTTTTCAATAGTGTTGCTTTTAGCAGTTTCATGTGCGAACAAATTTTCATCAATTTTACAGTAATAAATGGATGAAAAAAATTTTTTCCGTGATTGGACGACGTGACATGATTACTGTCCCTCTGCAACTTGTTGGAAGGTTATTTGTTGTCGAAATTGAATTGTAAGCTCTTCTTGCTGGAGAGTTTTAAGGACGGTCGTAACTGTCTATAATTTTATTAAGGATGATTGTTGCTGTTTGTCAAAAGTTTTACTATTTTACTGTAATTTATTTAGATTTAATGGCATCTTCCATATTACATCTCTTAGTGTAGAAGAAAAAAAGAAATGGTAACAGAAGTGTGAGTTGATAAACTTAAAACTTGGCAGTATTGTACCACTATGCTATAAATTCAATCTCAAAAGATAATTTTATAATTAGCTGCTGCCAAAAAATTTGGGCGGTTCAGATACTTTACAACAATTTTTTCATTTACCAGACTTGTTTAAACAAACATTTAAAATTAATATGTAAAAAAGTGTTTTAAAAGCTTAAATTATAGTTTGTGGTGAGCTGCTCCTGCAAATAAAAGTTCCGTTTCTCTAACTGACTGATTGTCGCAGAAGGTTAATCAAATTATCTTATCCATTTTAAGTAAAGTAGTCACTTTTTTTTGCAATTTACAATGGATAAACAAAAGTACTTTAACTCTTTAGTCGTTGAAAGTTAAATATTTTCAGCATTAGTAAATTTTAACTTTTATACAGAAAAGTAGGAAAAAAATAGGAAAACAGTTAAGAAAAAACAATTCTTGCAATGCTAAGTGCAAATTTCGGCTTGACAGTAAGAAAAGACTTGCGCAGAAAAAGTAACTTCGCCATTGTTCTACTACTTTTTTTTTTTTTTGCCATATTGTTTTTTACTGCTAAACCTAAAATTCTGAGAGGAAAAGAAGTAAGAGGTCTAAAGATCAAAATAATGTTCTGAAAGAATGCATAAGGAAGTAAAAATCAAAAATTTCAAATAAATAAATAGTCTTAATGGATTTGAAAGCGTAAGGAACTGTAAAGATCATATCTTCAGAAGAGTTAATAATTAGTTAAATATGTTTGTCAACATCGCTGTTCCACTTTCGTTTGCCTTCAAAGGATTAAAATTCCTCACAGAATTCTTGTTTAAAAATGCGGAGCTCATTTAGAGTTTTCTTCAAATGCTTGGGGTTCTTTTTGTTCAGCGAGTTTGTTTCTGCGGTAGGGGTATGACCCTAACTGCCGACAGGAATAAAGAGGTAGTGCGTGGAGAAGGTATTTTTGATGCGAAAGGAGGGTTTGCAGGAAAAAGGTGGGGTTTCTAATGGGGACGTTTTTTGAAAAGGGAATTTCGAAGCCAAAAGAAGTTTTTTATTTATCTTACTGTTGGACCCAGGTTCGCATGCCAGTGTACGACCAAATTGCACTGGAAATGCGCCGGGAAACTGGCACTACGATAAGCTCCGCCACTATCGTTTTTTACTTTAAAGCCTTCCTGGATGTATGCGTCTCTTACTTTAATGCGCATCCTGTTAAG